TGTAGTAGCATTTTACACTTTGAAGGTGCAAAACGCATACCGAACATGGCAACACTAGCACTCAAACTATCCAGAAAAGCTTGCAACATACCTGGATCTTCACTTAGTAGCACACTGTCGTCTGCATACTCTAGATCAGACAGTCTGCCACCCGGAAGTAAATCGATACCGCTTTCCCTGCACAAGGATAGGGCTGTTTCAATAATGAAATCTATGACTAAGTTAAATAGAAAAGGAGAGAGAGGGCAACCCTGTCGAACACCACTTTCCTTGGTGAACTCAGGTGAAAAAGTGCCGTAAGCCAACTGAACCAACAAGCAAACCTATACGTGGGAGCACTGGGGGATGTATACAAGTTAACCGACATACAATTCGAACCGGTTGAGAGATGCTGCAACCTGATATTGATCGAATGCACGACATGCGTGACATCAGTGGAGATCCTTAAAAAATGAGCCTGTTTTTTTATTGTTTTTGTAGTCAGTGAAATAACCCAGACAAAGATCGGATACAGTTAAAGAAGAAAAACATCGACCAATGTTCTTGATTAATGAAACAGGAATGTATCTAGTTCAGTGCAGAAAGGCGTCGTAAGTCGAATAATCAACCATGATTTATCTATCCCCTTTTCACTTTGATAGCCACCCATTACCCGTATGTTGTAAATCAAAGAAGATACGTGACAAGTTTTCACTAACAGGGATATTGAAGCTGACGCAGGGCGGGAACTGTTTGTGATGTACCAAAACGATTAAAGTCAAAAAAAACAGAGAGAGAGAGAGAGAGAGAGAGAGAGAGAGACGGACCTAATGATGTCGAACGTGACATTCCGTAAAGAAGTGCAGATAAAAAAAGAGTTGATAATCATTCGGGGAAGAGGCACACTGTCCGTTTTGTTAAGAGAATAAAAATATGGTGTGATATAAGAGACAAATGTGACCAACAGTTGACTAATCGCGATCATTGGGATCAGATCAATTGTCTGAGGGATAGNGGGGGGGGGAGGCAACAGCCCGGTACGGTCTATCTATCTATATCTATTCCCAAAATATTTTAGAGAATTTTGTATGGGAAACGTACCATTTCGTTGACGAATTGCACGCGTATTTTCATCCGCAGTTGAGTGGAACTCAAATTGGCCAATTGTTGATATCCATCCTGTCGGGAACGGACAGAGAAATGAGAGAAAGTGAATGTGTTTGGAGCGAACAAGCTGGAATCAAACTACCAATCAGTGACTTTCAGGTCGAGCCCGGATACATAAACATTNGGGGGAGGTAACATACCATGGAAGCAGCCATAGAGGAAAAAATGAGAACATACAAAATGAAAAGAATAACATTTTATTCCGTCGAATGTTCCAGTTCCACGTAAATGCGTTCAGATTGATAGAAAAGCTTGTCGTTTGACGATGACCTGTACTTGGATCAGTCTACACGCATGACGTGAAAGTAGAGTCGGATAACTTACTACTATGGAAAACGTTTGAAAAGCGACAGCTTCGATAAACAGCGTACGAGGTAATTCACTACATCAAGATCACGATTTAAGGGACTTACAACTCAGTCAGAAGTCTTTTACAACTAGACAGCAAAGGACAGTAACCAAAACCGGTGCACGATGGTGCATGGCTAATGGTTCTATAAATTGAACTCAATAGGCAGATATCAGAGGTAGTATGACCTAAATCCGGGTAGCACAACATAAAGCCATCTTAGTTTCGTGAAAAAATCACCAACATACTCAGATGAAGCAAGATTTCGGTTGAACATAACCGAGATATACTTCAAGCACGTCTGGCGCGGTTCATTATGCATGCACGAACACACACACATAAAGCACCGGTACAGTGGTTGAATCGGGTACTGCTCTGCAAGGACAATGACCTATTTAGAAGGAAGGATTCGTAAACAGGATGCGTTCAGAAGAACAACCAATTATTGGTGAAAAAGTCCCCTGTATTTTGGAAAGAACCTTAAGGGAATCTAAAAACGGGAAAGAAAGAGCAGTTTGAGATAACAGTGTGAACCCTCGTAGAACACAAAGCGGGGAAGGTTACCGGGGTAGAGATTTTACCGTGAAAATGGGTTAGTTTGTCAGAGATCCTTGATTCGATTAGCAGAACGTCAACCACGGCTTCTGCGTTCCAACAACAGGAGATAAAACTTTCCCTCCTGATGTTAGGCAAACTGTATATTGTGAAAGCATTTCTAAATTTATTTTTACCAGTTTAAATTTCTTTCCCGTAGTTCTATATCCTCACTCGCCCCCCTCCGTTTACTCTCATTCTATAGTTGCTGACTGACTAGTTCCCTAAATCACCTACTGTATTACAAAGAATTTTTATACCCCCAAAAATTACGGCTGAATAAACAGATTATTTAAGGCTAGAAATCCGAATGGTTTCATGTGCCAACTGCACCTTCTATTGACTGTCACTTATGATAACACATTCGTAGTTGGGAGACGGATACCGGGACGAATGGCGCGTAATACTGTGATGTGACAGTGCACCGGAACTAGACGATTCCTGAGGTCACCGAGTTGGTTGCTTCGTAGTGCTTCGATTTATCTCGTACTCGGGCGTTTTCACAAAAGTCGTCCAATGGAGTCTAATTCCAACCTAGTAATGAAGGATTTGATTCAATATCAAATATATATATATATATATATATATATATATATATAGCAAATAAAGCATGAACGGAAAAGCTAGGGAGCCTTGCTGGACGCCTGTTTCGACCTGGTTGGATCTCATCAGTACAGTGCGCAAATCCATCGACCCAACTGGGGTTTGCGAACCCGGACCCAAGCATGCTACCCACTCGGTCACCCCGGGGCAGTTGATCAGACCGTTTTTTTTTTCATTTTCCATTTACACGATAAACAGCACAACCGATCTCTGCGAGCTTGGTGCGAGGAACAGACCTCTCTCTTATCTGAGCATCGAGGATTATGGCTTACTGATGAGACCCAATCACGTCGAAACAGCTGTCCCATGTTTCGTAGCTCTTCAGTTCACGCTTTATTTGCCATATAGTCAAATTTGTTTGCTATTTTTCATCAATTCATCACTTCAGGGGTGGGGTGGGGTGCCACTTGCATTTTCTATCACGTGGTGCCGGATACAGTGTGCGTACTCCGTCCGGATCGAGTGTTCTATTCATGCTTCTTTTGAGCAATAATTAGATACAAAACACCGGTTGGCGAGATCAAACAAATCGTAAAACATCTTAATTTTTCATTCTAATGCAGAAAAACTAGGGTGAGAAAATTAATGAACGCATCTAGTTTGTGCAGACAATTCTTTCGAAATAAAATACTGCCTTAAAAGAGATAGAGAGCGTGTGGGTATTTCAAAACAGTAAAATTATTTCCCGAAGAGCATGCTGGCAATTCCACAATGACCGCTGAAACCGGTTTCAGTTTGAACAACCAATAACCACGCATATTCGTGCGCCGATTTTGGTTGCTGTCTCTTGGCTGCCCGTTTGAATGAATAATAGGAAAAGAAAGGAAACTTGAAAGTGGAGTCGAAAACAAAATGGAGAAGTTCAGTGGTCTAAGGTAGCAAAGAGATTGAGAAGATGCACGAACGCCACTGGCTGCGACACCCAGCCACATCACTCAGTGTCCCTAACCATCGGTTACGATCATCACAAGGTCCCCAGCCAGGGAGCCTAACAGGACCTATGTGACCCAGACTCCTGGCGAGGTCTTAACTTGACCACCCTTGGCTTTCTTGCGCCCACTACTTGCCACGGTTAACATGGTTCGCCGTGGTAACCTACCTGGTGACATGCGTAACACATGCCCCAGCCAACGTAATCTATGGAGGTCGATCACTTGCTCCAGTGGGCGACCGTATGTACCCAGAACTCTGCCCCTAACCTCAGCATTGCTCATCCGGCTACCCCACCAGATTCGTGCAATGCTGCATAGACAGCGGTGTTCTAACACCACACAGACTATCTTTGCCGAAATGGTAACAGTAGAATGTGATGCAAAAAATATAATACACATACGACAACAGTGACGCGTGGTCGACGGGTAGCGGGGGTGAATCTCACCTCAACTAGACGATTCCGATGAATCGTAATCACAGCTCCTACTGGACCATCATCTGTGAGCCAGTTCATACGAGTCTGCACGCCTAACGAGGCTTTGTCATCACGAACCCGATCGCGGAAAAGCATCACGCGCTGAAATTTGGAGAAATAGATGATACTGAGGCGAACAAAATAAAGTTAGAAATAAGAATTGACTGGCTGAGCTGAGAGACATCAGGATTTGTGTACCGAGGGCTAGAAAAGTAAAGCAAGCATGCCATTTAATTCAGAATTTTCAGATCACGTTAATGGTCATTGAGACATGAAAAGTGAGTGGGCCTCAGTTAACAATGATCAAGTGAACGGATGTGGTTAGAAGTTTAGAAATGACTATAGAGATTCCATTTCACTTCAGAAGTTTGAGTGAGCCCGGTGCACGTGACACAGTAAAGTCAGCAACTATTAGGCAAACACAGTGAGACACGTGCACACACAATCGGCATGTAGTCGACAATCATTTTGCTAACTGTCGTAGAAATCGCTCGTCGTAAATAAACGATCCACGAAAAGAACTTGGTAAACAAAATGCCAAGCTCGACAAATAAGGGAGAATGAACTGAAACGACTTTGGAGACAAAAAAACACCCAACCACGTTCGTCCACACACACACCAGATCACACAGTGTGGCTTATCGTACATCCACGATAACCAAAGTATGCCCTGGCAGTAAATAAGATAGATCAAGCGTTATCCAAGCTCTATCTCAGTCCGCTCACTCAGCCTATGGCGCCGACTCACGATACAGGGTCATATGCTGTATCTTAATCACAAGCACCTGAGGATGTACCTCAAAGTTTGGATTTGAAGCTCTCCGGAATTTTCGCCTAGTCAGTGAAGTTCCAGGGGGCGTTGCGAGTTCAGCACATGAATGAAGATGTAAACGGGAACAGCGAATGAGCCGTGGAAACATCTG